CTGACGCGTCTGCCTCCGCGACCCGAAAGGAGAAGCGGCGATGGAAGATGATGATGATGATGATGATTATGATTCACTTCTGAACAAATGTGGAGGAATTTTAAAACAATCATTCAAAATATGCTGATTTCGTCATCGAAAAGATACGGATTTCCTGCTTTGTTCTTCAGAGGCATTACATGTCGCAGCTATTTTGGTCAACTGAGGTCTTCGGGTGAGAGACTATTCACTTGCTGTTTGGAAAAAAATTACATTCGATGCTATATGCTGCGTCGTGCCAGTTCAATTCACTGTCAAGCCCTGAGAATCACCACTAGCGTTTGACCGAAACATTTATTGAAATAAGCAAGCTTAAATGACTGGCCATCTGCTGTTCTTACAATCAGAGAATCGAATCGATACTGTTTCAGTTTTACAAATGGTTTGAGGGGAACATTATTTACATGTAGTGAAATGAATATCGCAGACGGTTGATCACGGCGGTTTATTGCTTTTATCAATATGTCATATCAGAAATATTATTGAACTGACCTAATCTCAGTATAATCGTAAGCGTAATTCTCAGTTCAGAGGCAGAAAATGTGCCAAGTTTTGGATGACGTTTCCTCAATTTTCCTTCTGGGTCTGCTACAAAAAGGACCTGCCCCTAAACAGATGTTGTTTCAAGATACTTAGAACATTAACCTCTCGTTCTTACTGACTGACTATCTGACCGTTTCGAAGTTTCTGACAAGTACTCACTATTATTGCAGAGGTTATAGAGTATTCTACCCGTTGTATATATTGGGCATATGAATCCTTACTTTGATTATTGTCCGTTCTCTGCATCATGAGTGTCGAAGATGCCTTTCTGGATAGTTAATCAGAATCGATTGAATGGTAAATGTAGTTAATTTATCATTTTTAAAAACACTGTGGCGCGAAGGCGACGCCACGGCATTTTAGTATCAGAAGTACATCAGTGTATCTCGCATCATTTGTTAACTAGCGCAACATCTTACTTTTTATCGCGGTTGCTGCGGAAACTAGTATTTTGCACAGAAAACTTTTGTAACGACATCAAAATGAGTTCGAACGCAATGCATCTGATTTAACTGGGAAGACTGACGAAGCTATAAAAATCTAATGGCCACGTCAAGCGACGGTCTGTAACCTGTGTCATAACGGCGCCTCTTCATGCAGGATTTATGGCCGTCTACTTCAAAAACGCTTCATAGAGGAGGGCGGATATACAGCTATCGCGTAATTAATTTTTATGGCAGCAAATTTAAAATCGATTAAACGATAAATACTAGTTTTGCTGAGTATTTTAGGACGTTGCCTTGTTGAACTGACTCACTGACCAACTTATGGTTGAGTACGATATGTAGCTTGACAAATAGGCGCACTCTTACCAAAAAATGAATGGAATGCCGTTATTATTCGAACAGAGCTACGGCACCCGAATACAACATCTGGATCATCGTTAACAGTCAAATAAATCAATTATCCAAAAACCTTAGTGCTAGATGCGGCTGAATAATGGGGTCAAAAATTAAGTCAAATATACAAGAACTGAAAACGGCGATTTCACTTCTACCTGATAAAGTCAGCCAGACGAAAATTTCGAAAAACTCTTTCAACAACTTAAACACCAACTTCGATGTGCAACCTCTATTCGTAAACACCGCCATACCAACGAACGACGATATGCTGCTTTGCGTCACGATTGCACTTCTTCTTGTCGACCGGTCGGTGGCACGAACTATTGGAGATACGATAGAGGGCATTACAAATTTCGTTTAATTTGCATTATTTTTTTATCGCTTTCTAGGAGGCGTTAAGGATACCATGGATGAAAGCCAAAAAATCAACGTCAACGTTGGTCCAGACGGTGGCCTGATCAACTACAACGAGCCATCCTGTACGACTTGCGCTCAACGAGGGGCACAGCCCATTGGTGTACCATTAGGGGTACCCATGTCAAAGCCAGTCCCAATGGGTGTGCCGGTCGCTCAGCCAGTGCCAGTCGCGCAGCCTGTTCCTGTTGGAGTCCCAATCGGCCAGGTCGGCCCAGAAATACCGCTACGCGATTTGGAAGGGCCCGGACCCGTTATTGCCATCAGTAACTAACTTCGATTGTCGCTATGAACGGTGTTTATAACGAATTTTATTTCTATTCTCTCGTATCAAATTTAACTTCGCTAGTTCTAAGTGCAATTTACATATTAATGCTTCTCTGACAGAATAAATTTAATCTTTTAATCTTTAAAACATTTATCAGATACCCCTCTTTTAGATACGAGAGATTCGACGGCCATAGACACGTGCAGACGGCCGATGGCGCAAATCATGAACTGTAAGGAAATACGGTTTCTGACCGCAAACATTGGTTATTGTCAGAACTTAAGAGTGACGGTCGGTGTTCTGCTACATTTCGCTTGCTATGAAAGCAGGAACTAGGCGCTTCTGCATCTCTTTACCGCCTTCTCGATAAGCTTAGATGAATGGATCAAACGTTTCATAACGAGGTACGGGACAACCACAAACCAACAAACGTGACAACCTCCTGAAAAAGAGTTGGCATCACGCCAGAACCAAAAAGATATCGAAATAATATATATGATAAATTGCTCGTATGGAAAAAGCTACAGTGGATAAACTGGTAGAAAACTTAAAACTATGAACAGTGAACAGATTGTCTCAGCAGGAGGCATGAGGATGGATCTGCCGTTGCGAAGCGCATTATACTAAAGAGCCGCGTAATACGGTGGAATGTAAGGTGCGCAGAAGCCAGCTGTTCAAAAGAAAGCTTTTCGAAGCAATCACGATGAAACGGACAGAATGCAGGATCAGCAAGCATCAAGCAACCTATAAGAACAGTTCTCTCTGACCTACAGGACATAATTAAATTTTCGGTAAATGAACAAACACTGTTTGAACTCACGTTTCTCATCAAAAACTCATCATCGTACTCTTACAGGCTTACCTTGATACCAGAAAATATTTAGAATGAACCAAGAAAAGCCACAACGCCGACACAAAAACAAAACATAGCTCTCCATTCAAAAAACGAGAACTACAACTACTCCAGATTTGACCCTGTCTGCAGGTGGCTCACCAAACTAAGATGCAAGATTGTTGCTCTCTTGCAGCGGATTACTGACGAAAAGACACAGCGCCTAAGAGGTCTGCTTCTAACTTCGGAGGTTCCGCGATCGATTCCGATCGATGGCAATATTTGACTCATTCGCGAATTCCCTTGAGCAAGGAATTTACTATATGCTGCGTAAAACCGGGGTTGCTCAGTTGGTTGAACGTCACGCTAAGAGACGATAGGTCCAGAGTTCAGGACGGGGTCGTCCTTTCGAAGATGATAATGAATACCACCCAGTAGGAATTAAACAGAAGGCTATGCGTGATGCCCACCACCTGGCTGCAGACAAGGAAGGTGGAGCGTAGCAATACGGCAACGGTTGTCGAATTGACTAGAATCAGAAGATCATTCAGCAGTCAGCAATGGAGCCAGTTCTCGTTCTTAACGAAGTAGGCGAATAGCGCGATGCTATTGCAGTACCTCAGACCAGACTCCATGAGAACGATAATGACAATGGAAATATACAGTCGGAAACTGGGACGTCACCTCACTCAGAGGGAAAGGAGATAGTTGAAGAAGTCGTCAACTCAACAATTCAACGAAGCGCCAAGGCTCTGGAATTCTGAACCACTGCGGGTGGAAGCTATTACATTCAGTTGTCGAATCCGCGACACGCGCAGGTCGGTGCTGGTGTTTTGATAGAACCCAAACTGACTGACAAATTCACTGTATGAAAGCCTGTCAGCGGAAGAGAGGCAAGATTCTGACTGAAGCCATAAGAGGCTATAACTTCGACCTTTCCACAGGTTCATGCGCCCAGTTTGGTGGGAGAATATGACACCTTCCTTGAGGAAGTGCAGGTGCTCTGTCCTAAGTGCCGAATACAAAGTCCCTCATACTCAAGGGCGATTTCAATGCGTATGTCGGAGTATACATGAAAAGTGGAAAATTGTGATTGGAAAGAACGGTCCTCTCGACCTCAAAAACAACGACATGAAACTGCTGCGGTTTTATGCAGACAATAGACTGTTAATTATGAACCCCTTTGAGCAT